ATACGTCTCCAAACAAAAGCAAAACCGACAACGTCACCGCTATTCAAAGAACAACTACCCAAGTTATTAACAATACAAACCAAAATGCAAACAACAGCATTAAGAAAACAACAACGAACCCTTCACTTGAATGTATACTACCACACTTCAGCAAAGCACCAATCAACACACAAACCAACACTAGCGCATCTCCACTCAGCAATATAACTCAGCAACTTCTATCAGCAGACAAATATTTTATGTCTGTCTCGGACTCCGAAGAAGAGCCTAAATTATAGACAACTAACAATAAAAAATAAAATTAAAATAATTAAAAAAAAAAATAATAACAATAATTATGGATTTAGGTATCAGTCTCGTAATTCTTCAATGGAATATACAGGGATTTCTAAACAATAAGTTCGGACTAGAGCTACTCGTAACCAAACATAAACCCGACATTATTATGTTACAAGAAACCCACATAATAGAAAAAAATAAACACCTCTTACATCTTCCACATTATAAAGTGTATCACTTCAACAAAACGTACTCATATTCCAAAGCGGGTATTGCAATCCTCGTAAAGGAAACTTTGAATACTTCTAATTACAAAATATCTAACAATAATCTTCTCTTTCAATCAATCACCATACACGCGTTAAAAGACCTGCACATAACCAACATATACCGCGAGATAGACTTATATTTAACAGCTCAACACCTGGACGACATACACACCTACCATAACGGATATCACTTACTGGGTGGTGACTTAAACGCACATAACGCTTTGTGGGGTGCAAAGAAAACAAATCAGAACGGAAAATTATGGGAAGACTTTGCAAACGATAAACAATTTGTAATTCTCAACGACGGATCTCCCACACTGCTAAACACGAGAAATACTTTAACAAACGTCGACGTCTCAATGGCATGCGGAGGTATANCTTACTGGGTGGTGTCTTAAACGCACATAACGCTTTGTGGGGTGCAAAGAAAACAAATCAGAACGGAAAATTATGGGAAGACTTTGCAAACGATAAACAATTTGTAATTCTCAACGACGGATCTCCCACACTGCTAAACACGAGAAATACTTTAACAAACGTTGACGTCTCAATGGCATGCGGAGGTATAGCTCCGGTTCTGACATGGAATTGTCTTCCTCCGTCAGGGTCTAGCAATCATTTTCCAATCCTAATTTTCAACAACATGCTGAACATCAACAGCAGAATCAACCCCAGGTTTAATACTAACAAGGCAAATTGGCATCTATTTACAAATAAAACTAACGTCTACTCACAAAATTTCACTACATCAGTTAACATCAACAGAGAAGCCGCCCAAATAAAAAAAGTTTTGAGGAAAGCGGCAAACGAATCCATGCCCACCACCTTTTCAGCACCTAAGCACAATAGCCCCGTCTGGTT